TATATATATATATATATATATATATATATATAGATTCCCAACCTTTACAAGATTGTGAATTATCAGCACACACACATAAAAAGAGTGTAATTTCATAAAACTCTTTTTTGAATAGTTGAACTCTTAATAAAGAATACGATTTGCATTTTTTTTTTTCTTCAAATGATTAACCCATTTTCACACACTAGAAGAAAAATACAGCATCGTTATTTTGCAGCTTCCATTCTTTCTTTATTTGACGTGTATTGAGTTGGAGTCGAACCTACCGACACTGCGCTATTAAAAGCGCTCTTTAGCTTCACGCTCCGCCTTCCCGTTCGAAATAAATACGGATGCTGACTAAGCTGAAAAACGTCATACCGTTCGCCTACGTTAAACGCTAAGCAATTCGTTATAAGCTCCTTCGCCTCTTCACTAACCTTCGGGCTTTCCGGGAAGCTCAGCTCACGCGCAGATTCAATAATAAGCTTCTCCTGCCAGATCTTTCGCTGCGATTCGCCTTCGGCAAAAGGGCGGCGACCGAAGAGCATCTGATAAAAGATTACCCCCACAGACCAAACGTCGACTTTATTGCTAATGCGCGGGGTTGAAGAGGTATCAAAACACTCTGGTGGGAGATACCAATAAGTCCCCGTACCCTGCGAGGTGAGTTCAATACTCGGATTATCACTCGGCCCCTCTCGCGTTTCTGCGATAATTTTCGATAGCCCAAAGTCGGTAATCTTCACATCCAGCACGCCGGGATCAGCTGAATGTAATAAAATATTGGCTGGTTTTAAGTCGTAATGAATCACTGGGCTCGGCAACCCTGCAAGATACCGCAGCGCGGCGATCATCTGCAGTAAAATCAGTCGCGCGTCACCCTCACGCAGCTGCTGATAGCGTTTCAGATAGGTATCCAGATCCATCCCTGCGCTGTACTCCATCACAGAAACCAACGCTGCATCGCTTAAGGGGAAAACATCGTAAAGTCGCGTAAGACGCGGATGATCCAAAACCCGCATAATCTCCAGCTCCCGTTCAGCACGGCGGCGGTAATTCAGACGCGTTGCCATCGGCCAATCGCGATTGACGTGATGAATTTTGCACGCCACGTAGCGCCCATCTGCCAGATCAAACGCTCGCCAGACCTCTGAAAATCCTCCTTTACCAAGCAAATCCATCAAGATATAGCGCTCCCCATCGCCGAGCGCTGTGCGGCTAGCGTACTCCGAGGCATCCTCGTCGTTAATCCGCCGGATCTCCTTCATAAAGGCCTTTTTCTCGTTCTCAAGCTCCACCTGACGCTGGCGAATCGTGCCGATCATTGCGGTGAGTGCGGCGTGCTCGGTGCTGCGAAGCTGCAGCTCCTCCTGTGCTTCCATAAGCGCGTTGAAGCCCTCAGACCCCGGCGTCGACTCCTCGCGATCCCGCTCCTGCCGGAGTAGCTGCTTGACAGTGTTGTGGGCGGTTTTCTTGAGCCCCTCCACGGCGTCACGCCGCCGGCTGACCTCCTCCAGCTCACGGATCATCCCGCACATGACAGACCCTTCCACCCACACCTGCCGCATCCCGCCTTGCCATGCCACAACGTGGCCCAGCTCGAAGTGCCGCTGGTGCAGTTGACGGCGGGCATCGTGGCGGCCTTGCACCGCGGCACGCCGCAGCTCTGTCCGAAGCGCGCGCTGGAAGCGGCCCAACATGGCCGCGAGCTCCCCGGACCTGCCCTGGACCACTCGGATATGAGCGCGCTGTTCGGACAGCTCCTTTAGCGCATGTCCCAGTTTTTCCTGCAGCTCCTCGACCTGCGCGTCGCGGTGGGCAATCTCCTGCTTGAGCGCCGAAGTGTCGCTGACGACGCCGTAGACGGCCAGTGTTGGCTGCTTCATGCGACGGGCCTCGCCGAAGCCGTGAGGGCTACTGTTCATTGTGCTACTATGGACTGGAGTTGTACTCATTGTGTCACCATGGATTGCTGTTGTATTCGCTGTGTCATCACGGACTGGTGTTATACTCATTGAGCCACGATGGATTGCGGTGGTATTCGCAGTGTTACCATGGACGGCTGTTGCATCAATTGCGTCATCACGGACCGGGGTTGTACTCATTGAGGCACAATGGACGGCTGTCGCATTCACTGTGTCATCACGGACTGGGGTTGTACTCATTGAGCCACGATGGATTGCTGTTATATTCATTGTGCCACTATTTTCATTTCCCTTTCCGGTGGAAAAGGTCAGGGGGTCCGGCTCACTGGGACGTATAGGACTGGTGCCGTCGCCCCTTCCGCCGGTTTCGGGCCGCGCGTGGGTGGAATTGCTATCGCTAGGATCCCCCTCGGGACAAAAGAGACCGCCGTCGCTAAATGGGGAAGAAAAGAAAGAGGGTTGCGGTGGTTGAGTACCTTCCTGTTCTTTTTTGATTTTTGCAGTAATTGACATTCTCCCTTGCATGGTGTTATCGATGTCTACAAAAGACGGTATCGATTGCCCTTCGCTAAGTGAGAAAGTAGCGGAGTTGGAGCGGCTTTCATTTTTAATTTCATTGTTATATCTTTGGACTTCACTAGCTGACGGCTGCCTTTTTCGTTTTCTTTCGCGCGGAATCGGAAAAGAGGGCTCGGAAGGCTCTATTTTAGCGTGGCTACCTATGTTCTCCATTAATCGGTGTGCTCACACTTCTGCAGACCCTTAAGAAAAAAAAGAATACAAAGGAAAACGAATCTAGGTCGCTCCTTGTTATACCTTGTTTTCATGTAACTCGATGTGTAAATTAAAAAGTTTTGTGCAAAAAAAAAGGACAGGTATCGAATTGATTCATAAAATAAATAAAATCATATCTTAGAGAAAACCCGTTAACACCAGGAAATAAATACTCAAAGTATGTAACAACATGCTGTAAAACATTTTTTTCCCCTAAGAATAAACACGAGGGAAACAGACAATGTCAAGCGACCCTTTTGTATAAATGGGTTAGGAGCAGTGTAAAAAGGCAAAGTGAACTTAAAATCTACTAAGAAAGATGTAAAACCTACATCTCATTGTGAATCTCTTTCTCTAAAACAAAAACAACCCCCAAAGTATTGTATGTTGTTCAGCTCATCGGAGCACTCTCTCCACCACCCACACATCCTTTTCTTTAAAACATAATATCATGATAAACGGTGTTGTCAGTTTCTGGACGTTACTTTTTAATGATACTCTACACTGCTGTAGGACTAAGCGTGCCTCCGTTTTCGAGTAAAACGCGTCCGTAGCACTACACGAGCAAAGCACCCAATCCGTAGTTTCCCGCACAGCGGTTTCCTCCATGCACTCAATCGGCATCATAAAATCTAGCGTAACCTTAAACACACAATCTTTAAAGGTGACGTTGTCCATATTTTCGGCTCGAATAATGCGCTTGTCATTAAAAAAGCAATCAGGTTCAGTGGAAATCGGCGTAAAATCTTCCTTTTCACGATGAATTACCATATTCAGGCGGCCGCCCTTGATGAAATCTAAATCTGGCGTTGTTTCTAAGAGCATTTTTTTACGACCCATTTTCGTAGACTTTACAATATAAAAATATTGATGAGATGATGCTTTTTCTACGTTTTTTTTTGCTATGGATCATTTATAAACAGTAGTGGAGAAGGGATGAGATCATAAATTTCATAAATTACATGCTTTCCAATAAATAATAGTATAATATAGGCATTTAGTGGATTTTTTATACAGTAAATAGAAGTAAAAATACAAATGCATGTATGAATTTTGTCCTTTTGTTCTTTAGAACATGTAATTCTCTTGTCGCTTGATCATTCGACTACTTCAGTGGATTTTTTGTAGTACACACAGCATACGTTCAATTAATCGCCATCTTTTTTCAAAGGGAATCAATTGTTGTAAAAAATATTTCTAACGATAAAAAGCTGAAGAGTGGTTTAGACGATATCAAGGCATATTTTATGATTTGGTGGCGGAAACACCGTGTTTAACTCCTTCATATCTTCGTCTGTCAGCTCGATTTTATCCGCTGCCGCGTTTTCTGCTGTATGGGCGGGATTACTCGACTTTGGAATTGCGATAACGTTTCTAGTGTGCAAGGTAAACGCAAGAAGTATTTGGGGAATCGTGGCGTGATGCCTCGCTGCGATTTGTTTAACGACATCGTTTGAGTAAATCCCGCGGTGAATTTCCCCTGCTTGCGCGATTGGGCAGTACGCCATTACCGGTACCTTCTTCGCCGCCATCCACGGCATCAAATCGAACTCGATCCCGCGTGATCCAAGGTGGTAAAGCACCTGGTTCACAACGCAATGATTTCCTTTCGGAATACGCCATAGCTGCTCCATGTCGTCAAGGTCGAAGTTGGAGACTCCCCATTGCTTGATCAGGCCCTTGTCCACCAGACTTTCCATACATTTCACCACCTCCGCGAGGTTTTCCCCTCCTCGCCAATGCAAGAGATAAAGGTCCAACCACTCCAGGCCGAGATTTCGCAGACTTCGCTCGCAGCTTATGGTCATCCTCGCGGGATTCGCGTTTGTGGGAAGGACTTTCGAAACGATAAAGAGCTTTTCGCGCGGAAACGCCTTAATTGCCCGCCCCACGAGCCGTTCGGATCGCCCGTCGCCGTAGAATTCCGCGGTATCGATGACCGTCAGCCCCGCGTTGATTCCCCCTCGCAGGGCGTTAATTTCCTCCTCTTCTGTTTGCTTTTGATCCCCCATTTGCCATGTCCCCTGGCCCAGGGCCGGCAGCCGCAGCCCCGTGGGAAGGCAAACCTCGTGCGAAAGAGAGCGGATTGACGCCTGCATGGCACTCAATGCCTTTTAAAAGACGGATCGCGTTCTAATAAAATCCTCCTAAAAAAAAAAAAAAGGAAGGTAAAGTGAATGGAGGGTCGTCTTGGGGAGTTTTTTTTTGGGGGGGAGGGATCTACAGAAAGGCTGCGGCTGGTCGTTTATTAGTACTTTTTTTTTTAATCAATCATCTTGCATGGCAATCAAATGAAAGCATTTTGAAGTTTGTCTGTGGGGGAATGAGCGTTTTCAGAAAAGTCAAGCTTCACCATGACTCTACCACGCCCGGATTTACCACATCGCCATTTCGATCATATAATTCCTTTTCCTCTTTCTTTTTTCCCTCACTTTTATTTTGGATAGCGTCATTAGTTTCCTCCATAATATCTACACCTAACCTTAGCAAAGATCCAGATCGCGCCGCGGAGCAGCTGTTAAGAGCCCCAGCACGGATATAATCCGCCACCACGCTGAACCCCCCCGGCGGGGGTGAAAAAACATCCAAAGCAGAAGGGCCGTTCTCCTTTTCCCTTTCCCTATTTTTCTCTCCAGATGTTGCAGATTGCAGGGTTTTAAAAAACTGCCCATCGGCGAGATCGTTCGCCAGCCTTGCATCGTCTTGGTGGGGATTTTGTTCGGGTTTAGGGGCGCAAACCCCACACCCGCCGGACGGGTCCTCACAGCAGCGCTGATGGACGCCATGCCCGCATTTAAACCGCAAAGAGGGCAAATCCAACGCCTGCCCACAACGCGCGCAGGGTAAAGCGGCGGAGGAATAGCGATAAACATAATTCGACGAGGCGGAGGTCGATAAAGACGACGACGACGACGGTGAAAACACCACCGCGGCGCGGTGTAAGGCGAGAAGACGGCGGCGGATGGAGTCGAGCTCCGCTGACTGCAGCTTCGCCGCGCTCCGCAGCCTTGCCGAGTGCTCCGCCTTCTTCAAAAGCACTTTTTCCAGATACCCCCTTATAATCCCTAACGGGGGCTTAGTACCACTATTATTAGGATTGACATTATCATAATTAGTAATAGTTGTAGGGTTGCTGAGTAGCTCCACCACCAGGGCAGGAGCCAGGGCTTCCGTGGTGTTAATCTCATCCAGAACCTCCGCGATAATTTTCCCTCCGCCGTTTTCCCCCGGGGCGTAGTTTTGCGCGAGATATCGAAGAAGACCCTTCCAAAGCGTTTCGCTGACCTCGGCGGATGCTGAGGCCATGGCGGCTCGCGCGGCCTCGACGAGCCGTCGTTGGCCGGCCTCGCGTTCATCCAAAGGCGTCGCTTTCATGCCCAAGGAGAGCCTTTCGGCGTGAAAGCGAAGGGCATCCCGCCAGAGCCCCATTCGTCGTTGGAGAAAACTAACGCCCTCGTCAAAGTGGTGGAGATAGGATAGCGAAAGCGCAAGATCCGCCTCATAGCGCCCGGCAAGGATATCTAAAAAAGAAAGCGCCTGCGCCTGCCGTTGCGGAAGCGGCTCCACGGGGAATATCGCAACTTCAGCCCCCGCTTCGCCATTTTCGCCTTTTTGATAAGATGTGGGGGGGTTTCGCTGAGTTAGATCTGCCGTGATGTAGAGCTCGAAGAGGGTGTTGTAAAGGCTGCGGTGTGATTTTGTATTGTTGGTATTTTTTGCATTACTATTTGCATCTTTTTCCTCCAATTTGCCGCTCTCTATAAGGGCACGGAGGTAGTGAAGAAGGCAGGCTGGCATGCCAATAAAAACGTGGAGGAGTCTTTCCACCACCGCCCGCTGCGCAGGAAGCGAAGTGAAAGAGAGGGAGTCCGCAGGGGTTTGGGCGAACGAAATCCGACGAGGAGGACCTTTCCAGTCGACGCTCAGTTGGGTGAGCAGCTCCGTCGTGCGCAGAGGCAAAACCGATAATAAATCCTTCCCCATGCGCGCCAAAACCCCCTCCGCTTCTTCTACGCCAAGGGTTTCGATAAATTCCAACGCCCGCCGAGGTTGATGGAGGTTATAAAGGAGAATACTCGCGTGCTCGCCGACGCAGGCGTACTTATCAGAGAGATATAAGGCCGCTTTATGGTATCCGGCCTCCCGGCAGATCGCTATGACCTCCTTCGCGTCGAATCGGACGTCCTCGCGATGCAAAAACGCGAGCATAGCGTCTTCTTTTCTCATTCGAATGTACACTTTGAGGAGGAGGGTGGTGTAGGTGACACTCACGCGATAGCCGTGGGCGGTGCAGTGCAGGGCCTCCAGATATCGCGCGAGAAGGGGAAGCTGCGGGGGCTGCCGATACCGCCGGATCACGTACGAGGGCTCTAAATGTCCAATACACTCAATATATGGCTCTATCGCTTCGCTATACCGTCCTTTCCGATATAAATAATCAGCGTAGCGCCGCTGAACATCGACCTGCAGGGCTGGGTCCACATTCGGCAGCCGGCTTGCGATATTCCGCGCGATATCATAGCATTCCTTGCTGAAAAGCGCCTCCATCTTGGTCTGTGTATCGATCTCACAGAGTCGCGTGAGCTTATACGCGATCTCGTTTGCCCGTTCAGGGTCCTTCGCGATCACAAGGATGTCGGCGTCAGTGGAAAAGACGAAGCACACGTCCTGGTAGACCTCCTGCGAGCGGCTGAGAACTCGCAGGTTGTTTTGAAGGTCGTAGCATTGGAGGTAAAAGCGCTCGAGCCGCATCTCGTCCTGTGCGAGCCCGACAAGGTAGTTTCGGTGCCACAGAATCCGTCGCATCGGCATGGTGTTGTCGAGTGTGATGCGTCGGAGGGGTGGGGCTGGGCTTGTGGGGTCGAAGGGCGCCTCTCCTTCCCCTTCCCCTCTCCCGATCAGCAGTATGTGGTTTCGGCCATCGCAGAGGGCGAGGAGCCCGCCCTCGCTCAGCGCCGCGTTCCCATCCGCGGCGCCGAAGTCGACGGCGGGACAAGCGAACTCGGTGCACCCCCCCGGCGCGATCCGCCAGGCAGTGAGCCGGTCCTCGTGGGAGGCGTAGAGGACGCGCTCGCCCGACCCTCCCCCGGCGATCCCCACACGCGCGGGAGCCGGCAGGCCCACCCAACGCAGCGCAGCCGTGGAGAGAGCGGGGCGCAGGCGCGTCCGCGCGACCCCGCGGCCCTCGGCGAGGTCCCCGCGCAGGAGGAGGAGGTCCCCCCCCTCCAGCGCCACCACCCCCAGTCGAAGGTCCTCCGCGACGCAGAGGGCCGTGGCCCTGAGGGGAGGTGAGGGGAGGGGGACCTCGCGGCAGCCCCCGGCCGCGCTGAGGGAACACACCCGCAGGACGGCGTCCGCGCCCAGGCCCAGGGCCACTCCCCTCCCGGCCTCAACGCGGAGGTACGTCAGGGGCCCGGGGAAGCCGGGGGGGGCTGGGCTTGTGTCAGTGAGGCCGTGGGGGCCTGTGTCAGGGACCGCGTAAGGGCCTGTGCTGGGAAAGCCGTGGGGTGGGTTCAGGCCCAGGCCTTGGGGTTGGGCCGGGCTGAGGCCCGGGCGTGGGCTGAGGCCGCCGGCGACGCGGTCCCAGAGGTGGAGGCCGCCGCGGGGGTCGGCCACGGCGAGGGTGAGGGCCGCGAGGTCCGCGCAGCCGACCTCGACCCCCGCCAGCCCCGGGACGACGTCGTGGGAGTCGAAGAACTTGAAGCTGCGCCAGGGCGCGGGCGGCATCATGGTGAGGGGGGAAAGGAGGACTGGGAGGCTGCGACAGGGATCAGCTCTAGATGGGGTACAGCTCCTTTGCAGACTAGCCGAGCCAGACGTGAGGCGGGGGGAGAGAGAGAAGGGGGTGTGTGGTACTTGTTAAACCATGCGTACCTCATAGATTGCGCCTGATTAGCATCTAAAGATGGATACTGTTATCTAGGTTCACATAATTTTTAGAGAATTTATTATATTAATATAGTAATTCTGTCTTGACATAGGAAAAGTTCTGAAAATAATAAAAAATGGCATCTACTTTTCGCTTAACTCACCATAATGCGATCTCGAACCGAGCGCATATTCTTCGTATTCCTCTGAAGAAGCTCGTACAACGCCTCGATAGCGTTCTGCGTTTGCCCAGTAAACTTTAGCCACGACTCCATAATCACGCGATCCACCTCAACTTGTAGTAAAGGCTGCGCCCCATCAGTTTGAGCGCTTGCCGTGGGCAAAGAGGAGGAACCTTTTCCGACGCGCCTTTGAAGGCAGAGCCGGGCGCCATCCTCCTCCAGCCAAGGCTGAATTTGCTCGAGCGCGCTGCGGTATCGTCCAGGGGAGGAGAGCTCCTTTTGAATTTCTCGCAACCTCTGCAGAAGAATCCCCTCCTCACCGTCAGAGCTGCCAAGCCGACTAAGGGTCTCCATCTTTTGTAGTAAAGCAAACCACCGTCGGCGAAGCATCATGTCTTCTTTTTTAAGCCCTGCCAGAGTAACCTGGTTTTCCTTGTCCAGCGCCACAATCACCTCGACGTCACTGAGGTAAGTCTTAATCAGCCCTGAAAGGGATTCGATCTCCTCCTTTTGCTTTGAACAGCGCTGCTGAAGCTCCTGAGCAAAGTGCAGAGGGGTGGGATAAAGCCGTTGAGAATCCGGATTCGCGAGGATCGCCTGGATCCAGCCCTCCTCGGAGCAGCCTCCGCCGTGCAGGAAAGCGAGGTAGCGCTCGCGCTGGATGGCGCCTTCGCCCTGCCCGGCCCCGCAGACGTTGAAGACGAACGAGCGAAAACGACAGCAGGGGTCAAGCGCGTTGTAGGCTCGATCCACCTCGCTCAAATAATTCGCAATCGTACTTTGCGTATCTAGATCATACCGGCCGGAAGCTGTCATGGTAGGTGGCTTGAGGGGGGCGCCGGCCGCATTACCAAGACCCCCCGCTCCGAAAGCACCACTGCCAAAACCTCCAGGAGCTGTATTTGTTGTCATGGTTCCAGCACCAAAACCTCCAGGAGCTGTATTTGTTGTCATGGTCCCAGCACCAAAACCTCCAGGAGCTGTATTTGTTGTCATGGTCCCAGCACCAAAACCTACAGGCGCTGTATTTGTTGTCATGGTTCCAGCACCAAAACCTACAGGCGCTGTATTTGTTGTCATGGTTCCAGCACCAAAACCTCCAGGAGCTGTATTTGTTGTCATGGTTCCAGCACCAAAACCTACAGAAGGACGTGCACCAAAACCTGTTGATGTTGTTGACATAGCGCCCAATCCACCGGCTGAGCTACCAAATCCCGTCTTAGCCGCTCCAAACATACTTCTTCCTTTTTGTTATTGGTGTTTATGGATTCTAATTTGTAAGTGTATATAAAAAAACCTGATAGTTAGATCCTAATTGGAAGAAAACAAGGAAACACGTAAAAAAGAACCATATGTGACAATAACAGAAAAAGGACAAATCATCAACAGAAAACTACCTATAAATCTATACTTATAGGTTCATAAACATCCTCTGTTGTCCTCAGTTTATTGTGTTTTTTTCATCTAAAGGGGAATACATATCATGGGATTTGTTTATAATACATTAAGCCGCGCTTGCATATAGGAACGGATCTCCTGCAAGGGGTTATCAGGCTTTAAAATGAGAACGTGCAAAACTATATCATTTAATACATCCGTAATCTCGGGGTGTTTTTCGAGGTATCCATCATATTCCATTACCAGTTCATCTCTAGTATCGTCAATACGAGTCTTGCCTTCGAAGTTGAAGTTTTCCTTAAATTGGAGATAATCAACATTTTGATGCCCCGGAGGGACAGTGGAAGGGGATTTTTCAGCGATATCAGAATCCATAAGTTCCTCTCAGGTGAAAGTTAGTCTTTTTTTATATTTATTAGTTTACGCTTTGCTACTTATAAATACACATCTATTAATATCTCAGAATAATGCAGAATGAAAAGAATAATTGAATAAATAAAAAACGATTAATGTAGTAGAAATGACATGAGGACAACAATTTACATTTACATGTGCATGCAAAAAGATGTTTTGACAACAAAAACGTGTGCAATTCCAAAAAAAAAGGATATAAATTCTAAAGACACCGACTCCGAAAGTCAGTTTTAGAACATCAGAATGCAAAAGACAATCTATTTTGAATAACCTATATATGTACAAGAAAAACATTTTCTTAATTATTTGTTGTTGCTTGAAAATCTATTTTCTGAGATAATCTACAGGGCTGTGGTAGAGAGGCCGTAGAAGGGGAAGCTCAATCTCTCGTAAATGTCGAGAATAATTAACAATAACGTTTACATGGGATCCATTAGGTCGCGTGTGATAGATCGTCGGGATATCGTCGGGATGAGGACTTGAAAGAGTTGGTGGGGTCCACTTGTGCATGCAAAGGTATAACGTCATATTGTGAAAAGGAAAGGTTATTATTATTATTATTTTATCATCCATGCCACAAATACACATAAAAAAAATGATTCAAATTAGTGCCTGCCAGACCCTCCCCCTCTTCCTCCTCACAAAGTGCAAATGAATAAAGGGTGTTGACATCCCAGTATGCAAAGGCTAGTCTGATAACGTGCGGGATCTTCCTGGTGTAGAAAGATTCTGGTTCAAATGGATAAAGAAAAACTAAACAAGATTTAAGAATATAAAAGGCAATGAAATCAAAGGAAAGTGAGCTCACAACAGATGACCACATATCAATATCAATATGTATAGATATGTCAATGTTTGTTTTTGTTTACAATAGTTAAGCGCCTTCTATTTTTTTTTTATGAGCCATACTTAGGAAGATGTCCTGCTTTATATGCTAATTCCCGTAATATTGCATCTAGCGTGCAGAGGTTCGTCCCTTTCGTCAAATCCCCACAGGAAGTTTCGCAGTCTCGCAGAATGGGGTAGTTGCTGTACATATGCAAAGGCACTTTCGTGTAGGTCTCCTCGGGGTCCCTCTCCTTTTTATTTTCCTCGTTTTTGATTTCCTCTATCCTCCACGCCCCACCTTCACTTTTTACACTTCGCATTTGCTGTAATTCGGACTCATAACTTTGTGGGGGCCGCAGCCAACTTAAATTGTCTGTGCTCGCGGGGACGGCGGGTCCGACCGCCGTCTTTTCCCCGACTTCTACCATCGCGAGCAGACAAAAAATACTTTCCCGCGAAGCCACCCTGGGGGAGGCCTTGTCATGGGGAAAAGGACGTAAAACCGCGGCTAAAAGATCGCAAACTTCGGCAACCCCCGCGCAAAGGACAAGAACCATCGGCGGAAGGCTTTCAAGACCATAATCAGGGTCTTTTTGGAGTATTTCCCCGCATAATTCTGTCTGGCGGAAGGAGCGATGGGGGATGTGTGCGGCCTCGCAGAATTGTGAAAACTCCTGGAGGAGAAGCGCCGGTCGGACGCGATGGGGCGGATGGGGGAGGACGCAGCCGCCGTGAGATCCCGCCAAAAGCGTGCGGTCGACATCGAAAATGGCCTCCCCTTCCACCACGACAAGCAGCGATCGGCATTGTTGCCCGAACGCGTTCATCCCCGCCTTCAGAGTGGAAGAAAAAAAAGGCACTTTGAGGCTTGGTTTAAGGGGTAAAACAAATTAGCGTGAGGGAGTAAGAAATCAGAAGATGCCATGGTAGAAGATCGCATTGCAAACCTGAATCACAGTCAGAGGCTCCACACCCTTCCCTACACTACAAGGAAAATTGTGTCAACCAACCGTAACTTAAGAACTACTCGCCAATAAAGGTATGTTAGGGCATTAGTGTTGATATATATTTTAATGCATGCACCATGATATCAAAATGTTTCATATATATATATATAATTTGAAAAGTATTGACTGGACCAACATAGTTAAGAAAAAGAAAATGCAAACTACATTAGTGAGGTTTAAAATTTGATCTCCTAAAAAATTTAGGTTCATTGCTCTCCACACTTCTGGTACATACTTTCTGTTGCATATTTCTTTGAGTAACACATGCCGTAAAAGGGTTATACTACAAACATTTTTTTTTAATTTTAAGAAAGAAATGAATTAATCTAAAAACAAATAATGAATAACCAGAATACGTAGAACTAGTTAAAATTCGTAACATTTCACTCCCTGCTATTGGGAAGCAGATCAGGGATGTGTGGATCATAATTAATCTTCCATGTCTAAAATAATGGGTGGAAACTCCTTACCTTACCGTGTGAGATAGAATATAGAGATATTATTTCGAAATGAGGGAGCAGTCAACTGTGCGATGATCACTACAAAGGAGTGTAAGATCACTTTGAGCATGTCATCGCGACAAGGCAAGTATGATTCCTCTTTACTTATTTTTATACAAGTCGTTGTCATGCGCCATTTTATGCGCAGCATGGTGAGCATATTTTAGATCAAACATGCATTTATTATTTTTATTTTTATCTGAAATGAGATCAACTTTTTTTTTTTTAAGCTAACAGTATTTTATATTATACTTTTATGTAGCTACATAAATAATTATTAATGGGATAATCAATATACCTTTAGGTATAGTCGGTGCTGATAGAAAACAGATAGATTGGTAAACTAAATGCAATGTTAATTCCCTTTTAGTGAGGTAGAGAGAGAGATAGGGTAAGCTTTGCATTCTACGTAACGCATCACCATCAAAAAGTGAACAGATCCAAAGTCCTTGTTTTGATTGATCATAATTGACCGAGTCGTTTTTTTATTAAATAACTTTGGCACATATATATACATACATATATACATATACATATATATATATATATATATATATATATATGCGAATAGAACATAATATTATGTAACACTGACGCGCCAGTATCCGCACCGTTTAGATATTTAATTAAAGATAATTCCATCAACTACAAACTGGCCTGCGGGTTTCCCACCACCTCGCCCTGATCGTTCACGATGCCTTTCGCCCAGAGCGCTATCATTCGATTTCCCGCTGTCCAGAAAGGGGGGCAGGCGATAGAGGGGTGGAGCCCCCCGAGGGCCCGTTGAACCTCTGTCTTCTCCACCCATTCCACCTTCACAAGTTCGTCAGCCTCGACCACTAGTTTCTTTTCACGATCCTCTTTTTGAATGACCGCGTAGTAGGTTAGCATCAACAAACTGGGAAAAGGCCAAGTTTGGGAGCCGACATAGTTCAGGCGATCGAGACGCACGCCAGCCTCCTCCTCGACCTCGCGCCGCGCCGCGGTTTCGGCTGTTTCGCCCTGCAAAATAAATCCCGAGAGAATGGTTAAAACATTACTTTTCGCGCGGCGTTGGGAGAGAAGAATGTGGCCGGCCCCGTCGAGGACGGCCACCAGGACGGCCGGAATCACCTGCGGGAAGTATTGTCGGGGGCAGCTCTCACATCGGCGGCTGAATCCGATGTCTTTCACCCCGCTCGTGGCCCCTCCGCAGGCCGGGCAGAAGCGCTGGCCCGCCTGCCCGTTTGTGGCCGCGAGGGCGAGGCCAAGGAGGGCAAGAGGGGCCGCTTCCAGCCCTCCCAACAGCGTCCCTTTCACTTCCACCAACTTGAGGCCGTCAAGAGCCCCCCGTGAGACGTTCGCGGCTGCGATTGCGAAGAAATTACGCCTTTTGGGGTTTTCTTCTCTTTTATTCCCCTCCTCCTCGCCGAGGTAGATCAGTGCCTCTGGGGACCGCACCACACTGATATCAAAGGAGTGATGCCAACAGTCCGCGAGGTCCTTTTCGAACCGCGACGAATTCACCGCGACTTTGGCGCCTTTGGGCTGGATGATCACCAAACGGGGGTCCGCCTCGGGGCGAAGCCTCGTCTCGCGGAAACCCGCCTGCAGGCGTTCCTTCTCGTGACGGTTGAGTCGGAGGCCGTCCATGGTGTAACGGACCATGCAGAGGCCGCTCGTGTTCATGTTGAGTTGCATCTGAGGGATCGGGATTAGCCTTTTTGTAATAACCGCACAAAACCACCCCAGACAGGAAAAAAAAGGAAGGAATAGGATAGAACATGATGTAACAGGACAGGAGGGAATAGGACAGGATAAAATAGGAGAAAAAGGTCCAGGTGGACGAAGCCCACATCCCTTTCACGGAGGGCAGGCCCACGCGAATGCAGACGACTTTCCGGAAAAGGAATTTCACTCGTGGGATTTGGGGGAGGGGAGGAAATCCCCTAACGGTGAAGTTGTTTATAAACATTTAAATCCCTTTAGCCCTTACAGAAATTCAAGACTCTTTCCTGTGGGGTTAAGGTATCGAAGATTGAGATTATCATCCTATCACGTCTTTTCACATCATTTATTCAGTACACATGTTTCCTCATGAATGGATTAGATGTGTGGTCACATAAGAAGGAAAGTTTGTGTCAAGGAAATGAAAGCGGATGGAAAGCTTCGATAATAATAAGTATACTGGTTACATTAGAAAAACAATTATCCTATTTTTTACTTATCAGGTCCTTCCTGTGATAATAAAGACCTTCTAGTTTCCTGCTCGCATTTACGGTCCTGTTGAAATCCACAAGGGGAACTTCAGCAAAGAGGTTTACCCTGCTAGTTGCCACCAATTCAATCTGGGGAATATGCCGTTTATTGAAGTTATTTTCATTGCCCATCAATCCGATTTCTTATTAATAAATCCTTATCAGTTATTTACACCTTTCTATCGATTCGGTACTTATGCTCGTATAGAAGCTTCATTAAAGAATGAGGGTTGAGTTTAAGGTAGAACAAGAAGAATTTATTTAATAGGCTACAAAGCACACTCCGGTTCCGGATATCTGAAGACTTGCTAACGTGGAGAGCAACAAACGCAATATAGATTAGAATAATAATAAAATAGAATGCTAATTGACATAATTATTACCAATATGATTCAAAGCTTTACTATATATAGTGTCTACGTTAAAAGTGCCTGAAGGATGGGCACAGTTTTCCTTTCGCTAAGAGTGAGACACAACGTAGATATTTCGGTATATATTAATTAAAATTTTCTTCTTTAAATTGTGAAAAAATAGGTTAGAATATCATTATCACTTGACATCGTTTAAAACAAGAAATAGTTATTTTTACAGGTGGCCCTGTGCAGATTAGTGTTTAGGTGCCTGAAAGTATTTATTTTTAGAGAGTATAACGGGTGAGTACGTGTACCACTGAAAAAAAACGATGGAAAAGAGTAAACTCTTGGTGGAGATAGTACACGTATGGTAAAGGGTATAAAAGCATTTTTAGACGAAAAAAATAGTAGAAATAATAAATCCCAAATTTGGTAAAAGAACAACACAGCTTTACATATTGGTTGTCTTTGAGATTAATAAGATTATACAATCTAAATAAAACACGCTATACTTTACGTGTTGACATGATTTATTTTGCATATAACAAGCCCACAATACAAATAAAAATAAGATATTTTGAGCAAGTTAGCAAAAAGTTAGATTAATATGCAAAGATTGCTGAACATAAAAGAAGTTAAGCACACACCGGAATCAATATTCCGTGGTATGATACATCACAACATACTATAATAAAGACAAAGGCAGGTTGTCATATTTTTGGCAACTTATTTGCATTTCCCTGTAAAAAGGTATTTTTTAACAAATACAGCAATCCAGAAAATAGCCAATTTTACAAGCAAAGCGAACTGTTGGACATAAATACACATAAAAATACAATAAACAAAGTTTACTCCGTCAACATCAACTCGCCATATCGTTTGACCCTTTATATTACGTTTTTCTGTTGTATTTCATTCCCAGCAACCCAAAGGTAAAGAATTCCACACCCCTCGCACATTATACACCAAGAACTATTACCCTTTCGGTTATTAGCGACGTTGTTTAAAAATTCTTTGAAATTTCAAAATTCCAGGTCATGCCATCGCTACGCATCGTAGTAGTCTGACGTTTATGGAGTGAAAAAGCTGATAAACTGACCCATGTCCATGCGTACAGCTATACATGGGAAAATAAAAAGATCCAATTTAGCGGTTCACTCGAAAAAAAGCACCCACATCGAGGAAGCCTGAAAAAAAAAGGAAGAATACAAGGCATGTGGCGAGGAATCAATGGTGTGAGGGTTTCTTGTAAAAAAAAAACGTATGATCCCCATTATCACCATCGGACGCTACGGGATAACAGCCTGAAGTGCGGCCATCCACGCCTCGAAGGTCTCTTTATCGTCGACTTTAAACCAATACGCTTTTCCCGAGTGCTTTCGCACCGCAAAGACAAAACGCTCGCCTGCGATTCCCTCATCGATCGCGCAGGCCGACGCGAACGCGGTGATCGGGGAGTTTTTGACATTTTCGCATTTGAGGTCCCGCATCAAAATCACCCCGGGGGCGAGCGCGAGTTCGTAATCCAGCCACTCCGACCTCGCCATGTGGCGCTTGACGATGCCTTTTTTCTCCGTTTCGTCGGTTTTATTGATTTTATTATTATTGTTGTCGTTAGTGGTACTATACTGGAGGATGTAGGTGATGCCGTTGGAAACATCCGCGCGGATGGGCTTTGAGATGCGGTTATGCCGCTCGACGCGGTATTGAAGAATTTTCAGATTTTTCATGATGAAGGGCAGCTGGAAGAGGGCCCGTAGCGAAGGACGTTTCGCCGGATCGACCGAAAGAAGCTGATCGCATACGGCGACCAAATCGTCCGAAAGGTAATTCGGCAGCGGCCGGCGGTTGGAACTGCAGATGTTGTTAATCAGCTCATCCATGTTGTTCCCGCCAAACGGCCGGCGCAGCGCCATAACCTCGTACAACACCACTCCAAGAGACCACATTTCGCTCTTTTTGCTGTACATTTGGCGATGCCAGAGCTCAGGGCTGAGGTAGTAGGGTGTCCCGCAGAAGGTGGAGCCGATGGTCTTGGAAAGGGAATCCTCGTATTGCCGAGAAAACCCAAAATCCCCGAGTTTGACAAGCCCTGATGTGTTGAGAAGAATATTTGCCGTTTTGAGGTCGCGATGCATCATTTTGTTAGTGTGTATATGGTCCAGCGCGATGCACAACTGTAGGAGGATGAAAATAACCTCGCGCTCGCGAAAGTAGTGCACCAACGGCTGGCGTGCTTTGATTTGCCGGTAAAGATCCCCCCCGTCAGCATATTCCATCACAATCAAAAGCTTTCCATCCTTCTCGACCGAGTCCTCATAGCGCACAATGTGGGGATTCTTGCACCGTGAAAGACATTTCACCTCGTTCGTTACAAATCTGAGATCTTTCGAGCTCATTTGAGTGAGATCCATCACCTTCGCAGCGAAGGTTCGCCCCGTCGACGCCTCCTCGACCTGCCACGCACGGCCAAAACCGCCATGACCAAGCAGATTTCGTTTAATATATTTGCAGCCCGAGGTGGTCCCTAATATCCCACTCAACGGGTCGTGAGGAAAAGGGGAACGATCCCTTCCGGCGTTTCTATCAGGCCGGGACGTCGCCTCCATTCGTGCGTTATTTTTTCCCACAAAATGGCAGCGCCCTTTCCACTCTCTCTCTCTAAACGGTGTAAGAATGATTTATGAGTGAGAGTTCACACCGAGATGAGCGTTTCATTTCGGACGTGCACTAATGGGGCAACTAAACCCCGAGACTGAGCAATAGGATAGGGATAGAATGGCAGCGCCTGTGACAATTGTGACAATAGTGGCACACCAATATAAATAGGTGTATATATATATATAGGTATGTGTGTAGGTAGTGTTATAGAGATATTCTTGATTTCTTATAGTCTATACGAGGGACTTTCCTTCAGTTTTAAATAAGAAATGAAAGAAAATCAATGAATGAATCTTTTTACGGATCATAGGTTCATTTTTTGAGTATAAAACAGGTTATATTATTTAGCTTGGTTTCACAATCCATAGGTACACTAGATAAGTGCCCAATTGAGCAATATAGAGCATTCGAATTTAACATATCCGAATAGGATATTTCCACATTAGCTATTGTGAAAATATATGAAGTAATGATCATTAGAATTTTTGGATATAAGTATTTAATTAAAGATTTACTTAGTTGGAATAGCGATTTATTACATCATAACAATTGAAGTTCATTTAACCTGCAAAATATACCTCCCTTTTTCTTTTTTTCCCTTCATTCAATCACCACTAGAGTTTATATACGCTGCAACTCATTTGATTTCGATGTTTCACAGTTCAAAGAATATCTTAGGGGGGGGGGGGGGAGAGAGAAACGACTCAAAATAATAATCCACATTTTGACCGGAATCGTACGTGGGGCGAGGACAAAACCGCTCAGCAGGTGCGATCACATGTGTCCTTCTGCTCAACTTTCCCCTACGAAGAAAGGGATGGAGGGATGCAGAGGAAGTGCGGTCATCCCGGTGAATGAGTTTGGGGGTATTCTTGTCCGGGAACTTCACTTCATCAATTTCAAAGGGCGAAATGTGAAAAACAACCGCGGGTGCGCATAGTGAAAATCACCTCGTCGTTTTGGACATTTTCCCGCGAAAAAAAGTTGACGGGTTCACGCCCGGTGGTGTAATTGCCGTAGTCATCGGCGAGTAATTGCACTTCGAAATAACCTCCATCGCGAGTCTGCGCATTATTTAATGATTCCAGTTGTTTACCTCTTCTTTGGCCTCTAAAAGGATTTTTTTGACCTGCCCGATGGCAGTGTATATTCCTTTTCACTGCTTTTTCGGCGTCATGAAGTCGGCGCGCCGTTCGATCAGGAAATGATCCTTAACGCAGCTTTGTCGTCCGGAATAAACCCGGCTTTTTTGTTAGGGTCAAAAAAATTTACGTGATTGGATGCTTTCGTATTTTCGAGGGAGATATGCACGATACGGTCTCCATTCACGTAGTTTTTTTTTGATTTCTCCCACCTGGGAGTGGGACGTTGTGATCAGCTACGAAACCAAACTCAGCATTCGCGTTAAACGGCACACCGGGAAACCCAACTACTCCCTTTATCGACCTGATGATGCATCAAAACGATGGCGTAGATTCAAAAAGGTCAATGGACGCCTAAAATAAAAAGAAACCAACCCAGTGGATATCCAAAAAAGGTTCAACTATGTCGTGGTTGAACTGTACCCCTTATCTGCTGAAGCACAATGGCCCCAGGCGTCAATTGTGGGTAAATGTGAAGTCAGAAGAAAGATGCCTACTTGGAGAGAGTAAATAAAAATTCAAGAAGGCAAAAAATAAATCAAACAAGGAAAGGAAAATGTGAAGGGAAATATCGTTATTTCCGAGGGGTGAATACTTATACATTCTTAAAACTGACAACCCAATCGATGAGGACACCTAAACAGGTGATTCTCGTCGTTAACCTTCATTTCTTAAGGAAGGGTGGAAAGTAATTTCTATGACCTTTATAGGTTGCATTGAAGTGGCCTCAGACCATTCGAGCACCAAATCGCAACGTTTCAACTCCACCGTAGAGTCCATTTCCGCACCCATCGCATCATCCCCGCGTCTTTTCATCTTAGTGGTATTAAGAAGAAAAAAAGACTAGTACGCTATGGAGGATCCGGAGGACTCCTCACTGCGGTGCCGCCTAGACTGGAAGCTTTCTTCCTCGTTTCCCATCCATTCATCGCTCTCCCCGTCGTTGTCTCTGGGGTGTTTTTTAATATATTTGCTTGGCGGCCTGGCGTCTCGCTCCTGCGCCTCGACCGACCCCATGGACTCTTCCTCCTCCTCCACTTCCTCATTTTCCACCGAGGAGGTGGATGGGTCCCTGAGATTCCGCCCCCCCTCCCCACCGGCGTCGTCGTCGTCCGGGCCGAACTCGGACAGCCCGTCCTCGCCCGGGAGGCCGAACAACAAGGAATAGGGCGGCTCCCCCCCCCCTCCGGGCCTGGGGAGGCGCGGGGAGGGGAGGTCGAGCGAAAACTCCACTGCCAGGGCGTCATACTCGCAAAGCCCCGCGGTGGGGACGCGCTCGATGGTGCTGGCGATGCTCGAGGTCTCGGTATCGGCCTGGTGGGCCTCCTCGGGGGTCTCCTCCAGGACGTGGCGGAGTTTGTCGGCGATAAAAGGCGCCTTTGCGGTGAGGGCGTCCCCAAATGTCCGCCATAGCCCGAGGGCGGTTTCGTGGTAGAGCGGTGCGTTGGCGGGCTGAATAGGGGGCCGTGAGGGCGAGGCGGCGGGGCCGATCCCCGGATCGTCCCCGTTTCCCAGCAACGCCATCGCAGACTCCCCGCTTTGGCACTTCCCGCGATGGACAAGGGTGCACAAATCGAAAAAAAAGCGCCCGAGCGAGGCCGACAGGACGTTATTGCGCCGGGCGCAGTTGAGGAAGAGCCGCATGCAGGCGTCGACCAGTCCCTCCTTCCCGGTGAGCAAGTGGAAGAGGCGGGCGGAGTCGGCGTTGAGCAAGGCCGTGAGGAAGGAGACGGCGGAGGACTGCAGGTTCAGCCCGCGCCGCGCCGGCCGCGCGAGCAGGGCCACCAGGGCGGGGATGAGGCGGGAGAGCACGAGAACCTCCGTCACGCCCCCCCGAGCCGCCCCTCCATCTCCTCCGCGACGAGCCGGAGGACGCGGAGGAGGTCGAGGGCGCGGGCCTCGCCGTGGCCGCCCGCTGCCCCCTCCGCGAGCAGCCGCGCGAGGCCCTCGGCGACGGCGAAGACGGGCGGCCGCTCCGCCCCGCTC